ATATTATATATATATATATATATATGCGTGTATGCATACATTCATAGGGATAATGCTACATAATGCACGTGCATCGTCCTGCTTGATAAGAGGTGAAGCCTACAAATTCACGAGCACAAAGATAAAGAAACTAAAAGAAAACAATAAAGAAGAAAAAGGAGAATAAGAAAAACGAAGAAGAAGGGTGTGTTGGTTGTACCGGCTGTGCCATGATAAGACGTAGATTGGCTGGGTTGGCTTGTATCTGGGAAACGAGGGCGACAAGTTTCTGAATATATTCAGGATCTTCTTTGCTGTATTTTTGTAGCTTAGGATGACCCCGTACAGCATTTGTTACGGCCATCATAGCCTGTAAATCTCTCATTGATGCCTCACTCTGTTGTACCTCTGCTAGTGCAGCCTTTAGCGACGCATTCTCTGGGTCTATAGATAGACCCTTCTTATATGTTGCTTCTGCCTCACGCAAGCGTCCTAAATTAAATTCAGCAAGACCTTTGCGCGAATAACCCTAAATAATAAACATAACAAGATACAAAAAGAGATACAATTCATGATGCTGTATGGTGAGCAGAAATGCACCTTCCTTCCTGTCTACGCATGTGTAACACCGGCAGATAATGATGGTCTTATATAATAATACAGACGTGTGTGTTACAGGCCAAGAGTTAACGTGTGAATAAACAAGAGACACCAAGGAATTGATTATTCAGTAAGGGAAAATAGGATTAGGTGGTCTGTTTGCTGTTCCTTACCTTAGCCCAGTCGGGCTTCAGCTTGACGCATGTTTCTGCGTCCTTTAGTGCTTGTTCAAAGTTTTTAAGACTGGCGTAGGCGCCGGATCTGTTTGAGTAAAGAACGGCATCTGAGGGACTTAATTCAATTGCTTTAGAGAAGTGCTTCACTGCCAACTCGAAGTCACCCTTCTGAAATGCTGCATTTCCCTTCGCCTTCTCCTCCTGAGCTTGTTCTGCACCGGTAGCCATCGTTAGCAGACGTGCAGCAACACTTCAAAGATACACCAAATAGTACTGAAATTGATGAAACAAAGACGAATGGATCTAATCCCGTAGAAGAAACCAACGGAATAGTGCGGAGAAGCCCCACTACCTGCGCAACAACCGCCTCTCGTGCAGATCAGCTTCGCACAAACTTCACCCGCCAGCAATCTGACGAATAAAGGAAAAGTAAATAACCACTCTTAAAAAGTATAATTTTATATACCACACACAATGGGCAATTTCTATTCACCAGCCCCACGTGTTCTGGCCCCTTGAAACCCCGTCGGCGGGCCCCGCTTGAGTTGCATGCATTTAGTCACTCGTTGAGAGCAAGTAACAAATTCAGATCTGGTGGTATATATAATTATTCTCATTTTGCATACAAATATCCATTGTATCGCTTGCTTACCATTTTTAGCAGAGTCATCGCAACGAGCCCGCCAGTCGGCGCGACGGGTGGACGGCTGGGCAGCATAGTCTATCTTAAGTTGTTCCGTTAACTTCTATTTCTATTCATGCATATGGGTACTGATGGTCAAGGAAATGTCTCACAAATATCCTACTGCGTTTGTGAATGCATCAGGAGGCACCATAGGTATGCTTGTATGTGATGGTGCTGCACGTGCAGCCCCCGATAAAAACGTACTAAGCAGCTAGCAAGTGGTCTTGGCACTAATGACAAGCCGCCTCCACTCCTCCAAATCCGCAGACGTTTGCCCCACTGTTGTTAGGAGGGCTGGAGAGTACGGGGAGGTCAGCTACTCTACTCTAAGAAGTATCGTGTATCTCTGACGGCAGCGCACGACGGTTTTAGGCTGATATCGGGGAATCTTACTAAACTTCACAGCTCAACATGGTTTAAACATGCATAGATGAGCAGCAAGTGTTAGCCATTACTACTGCAAACCTTGCTGACAAACACCGCATAGTGTTAGGAGAGCGCCTGACGACAGGCGACAAGATGAACACGCAATATCTTCGAGTTCTCTATAGACTATCTATCGGAGAAAGAACCCTTTCCTACTTCCCTAAAATTCCGATAGATAAAGCGATGAATAACAGTGGAGTTCCCTCTCTTCGCCGAACATACACAATATTCACGACCAACTCCACGCAAACAATTCACGATGAGAGCATTCACCGTTGCAAACAATGAATATATGATAACCGTTGTCGTGAGTTGTCAATATAATTACTTCTTGTTTCTATGGTGGCTTTCTTTTATTCCTAGAAACGCAAGAAGTGCTGCATTTGCTACGGGCATGCATGCCCTGCAGCAGACGGCGGAACTTGAGGGAGGACGGTGCTGCCTACGTAAAAGAAAAACAACTAATTTCTTAAATAACCGCCATAGACTTGAAGTATTCTTAATTGTCTTGTGATGACGATGTAGCAGTAAGTCTTAAGGGGTAATTATACATTGAAAAACAATGAAAAAGACAGGAAGGGTAACCGCAAGAACAGTGTATGGCTATGCAGTAGTGTACATTGCAAGAGAAGCCTAACAGTGTACTCGGTGCCTTTATAGCAGCAGTTTAACAACAAATGGTTTTCTTCTTCGCCTATTATTCATAAATTTTCTCTGTATAGATAGATAACCATGAGAGTCTAGTAGTGGTCTGCATGCAAGAAGAACACTTCTCCGTTGGCACCAACAGATGCTCCTCCCGTAACAACCGCAATGAAAAACTTTCTTTCTTTTAGCCCTACCACATCCTCATCCTTTAATTCGCTATTGGCTCCATCTAACAGTCTTAGTCTTCTTTCTTATCTAAGGATTAATGCTTGCTGCAGTACTGCCTGGATGCGCTTTCCTTATAAACAGTTACTATACTCCCCCATACTCCCCCTGCATAGTGGGCGTAGAGGCAGTAGCGCCTGTACGGGAGGAAGAGGAGGAGATTTGCCACTAGTTGCAACGCATCTCGCTGTTACCCAAGGTACAAGACAGCCTTATATGCATGCACTAGCAGGTCTCCTTTGTTGCATGCACAAACATTGCAATATGTTTGCTGAGTACGCCCTCTCGCTTGCTTATTGCTTACTAGGGCTGGGTTAGGGTTTATGTTACAACTTTATGTAGATGTAACAGGACTGATCAATGTACGGTTGATACTGTTGATACAGATGGGGAGGAACAAGAAAGAGAGGAAAGAACATTGACTGCTGTGCTAAGGACGCCTGTAGAGTAGGGAGCAACACAAGTATTTCTTATTGAATATTATTTTCTTTTATGTTTTTGTACTCTTATTCAGGTATAGAAGGTCCTCGCATAAGATCGACAACTCTTGTTCGGTACAGGTAGTCCGTGTAAGAATTTCTGCATGAGTTTGCCTTACTGTTGAATAAGGGCAAAGTTTGTATTTAAAGGATTAATAATATACTTAACTTATTTAATAACAATAAATAAAAAGAAATTGAATAATCCTCAATCAACCCCACACACAAGTGCATCAATCAATATAGACGCACGGTCTAGCCCAGGAAGGCTGGGGCGGTCTGCTGTGTCGAGGCCTTGTTCCTGTTGATTCGCTGGTGCAACTGTTGACGGTTCCTTTTCCTTCTTTCGTTTCTTTTATTTTTTTATGTATTTTGTTAGTTTGTATCATTATTATGTTAATTTAGTTCCTTTTCTGCTCTTTTTCCTGTTGGCCTCGTTGCCATCAGCTCCTCTCAGTCGATTCAGTTCCCTACAGGTACTACGGACTGCTGCTGCGCCGTGCAAGTCTGCTACTGCGGGATGCTGATCTGTCTATTTCTCTTTTTTATGAATTAAATAATTCTTTTTTAATGAAGAAAAGACAGTTAGGACGGCTGAGTTCGCAGTTGATCATAGGAAACAGTGGCCCCGCGAGTTACGACTACTGCTCCTGTGTGCTGTACTCTACCCTGTATTGCTTCTTATTGGTGTATTCATGATCGAGATCCATTCCTCTTTAAGTCACTGAATATAACACAACAATTCAACGCATGCAGAAGGTATTTATTGCCTTATTTCTCTCAATTCCTTTAGGCGGTGCCCCTCCCCTTCTCTCGCACGCCACGACGTCCGCCGCCTAGGAACAGATGAGGCACTGGCGTTCCTTGAATATAATTTGTTTGTTTTCTTTTATTAAAATAAAGGAGAAAGCTTGAGCTTTCTTTCATTTCTGGCTCAGCTGTCTGTACACCATGGTCAGCTCTCTACAGGTCCCCCACTACATTCCTCTTGCTGCTTGATCTTGATGCCCGATCCTTCTGTCCTTCTTCTGCAGCAATAACAGCAATTCATCTTTCTTTTTTTTTACGACTTTCTTCTTTTCTTTTCTTATTGGGTCTTATAAGTCTTATTAGACCCTTATTTATGCTTATTTCCTTAGACACCTGTATATACACCTATACAATAATATACTAGCAGCGGCGCCACCAACAGGCCCTATGGATTCGCCTACCCCTACTACTGCATGCAGCAGCAGCACGATGAATCGTCATAACGATGCATGCGCTACCTCTATACAGCACACTCTTGATGAATCTTTGGGGCTGGAACAGGAACCACGAACTCTGCAGCCTTTCAAGAGGCCTAGAGGGTCAGTTATTTCTTTTGTCTCGTGCTTGCGGTGTATATGCAGCTTTCCTCTACCTTTCCTATTAGGGTATTTTGGTGTATCTGCAACTTTTCTCTAGCTTTACTGTCTTTGGCGTGGGGTGTATAGGCAGCTTCCCTCTTGCTTGCCTATCTGGGTCTTGGGGTGTATATGCACCTTTCCTCTAGCTTGTCTGCATGTTTGTTGCCAATTGACGCCTGCAGCTGATTATGTGTATATACACATGAATGAGTGCCTTATGCTGCAGCAGCTGCATGCATGCATGCAGTGTCAGCATCAGCAGCAGTAACCTTTTCCTTGTATCTATATTTGCTGCTGCTGCTGCTGCTGCTGCTGCATGCAGGCGCCCTTGTCGCTCCCCCCAAGCTGAGGTGTACAGACACTCCATATTGAAGGCATTTGCTACAGAAGGAAATCTTCGCAATAAAATTCATATTTATAATACTATACAGAAAATTAATGACAATAATACAGGTATACTTAATTTATATATATATATAT